CAAAACAAGAGCAAAACCGGTCAAACCAGTCTTTTTTTCTTCTCCACGCATAGTGGCGGCGTGTGGGGGCGCGTGAACAATGATAAATTCCCGGAAAAATTCCTAAAAATTATTTTAAGCGATTTCGAGATACTTACAAAGCTCGGTTCAAATTTTTGAACGGCGGAGAGCTCGATTTCAACGAATCGGAAACTTTGACCGCTTTACCTCCTCACGCGCCACCGTCGACGGAGACCAAGGATGACACCGGTGGACTCGGAACGATGCAAGGAACACGATGTTGCGGGAGGTGTCGTAAACGGATGCTCGGATCGTCGTGAATCGATGAAAAACCAACTGAAATCGGGTTATTACCGATGATACTTTCGACTGAAATTAACGACGAACGACGACGATTAATGATGAAAGGTTTGAGGGATTTTGTTCCTCGGTTGACAACGAACACGATGGTGGTTTCGGCTCGTCGATCGGAGGTCGGACGGCGAGTAGATCGGAGTTGAAAGTTAGGTTGTTGGGGAAGGAAAACTGGAAATTGACGGGGAGAGTTTATAATTCTCTCCTATAGAAAATTGGCTAAATTAATAGTTAACCATTGAATTTCCTGCACTTCTTAAAATGGTCTGCCAACTTTACAATTTTATAATTTAATCCCTAATTTCTTCCAAAAATACCAATTATGTTCACAACTTTATAATTTCTTAAATTTAGCCGGTGTTACATATATATATATATATATATATATATATATATATATATATATACTTTTGTTTTCATTCACGTTCAACCCTTTAACAACTTTTGATAATAAAATATTATATTTAGAATTGGGAATCACGTGGTTAAGCTTTTGAGAATGAGCCATTACCGATTCTCTATTTAGTGTCATATGCCCACCACTATTATTGATCTTTGATCCAGCAGAATCAACAGTATGAACATCGTGCAAAACCATTAATGTTATAATATCTCTATTATTTTATAACTTATATTATATATATATATATATATTATATTTTTTCAATTTTAAATGAATGAAATTTACTATATTTTTCATTATTTCTTCAGTTTTGCATTTATTTTGATTTAATCATTTTGTGTTTTTTTTAATTTATTTCAATTTTGAGTCTTTCACTTTTATATGTATTCAATTTAGTCCTTAAATTTATATTTGCATCTTCATTTGGCCCATTGTTAGTTGTTATTTATATTTTTGTAACTGGCCCATAACTTCTTAAATGTGTTTAATTTAGTCATTTTTATATTAATTTAAACCTCACATTTTAAATTTATTTCGATTTAGTCCCTTACCTATGTGTTTTGTTTAATTTATATTTTAAAATTTTATTTGTAATTTTACATTTCTTCAATTTTGTCCTTAAATTTATATTTTTTACAAAATTGATCCATGATTTTTTTTATAATTTACTCGAAATCATATACAATTACAACTTGTAATTGTTTAGGGTTTATGGTTTAATATTTGTGGTTTAGTGCTAGTCCATTTATATTAAGATTTATGATTTAGGGTTTAGGGTTTCTATAAACTATATATTTTATTACTTTATATAGTTTATGCATAGTATTTCTATAAACTATATAAGTAATTTACTTTATATAGTATATATATATATATAGAGAGAGAGGTTATATATATAGTTTATATATACTATACATGGTTTATACATACATATTATATAAAATTATTTAATAAAATTAATAAATTATTTAAATGTAAATTATATAAACATGATTAATTAGGTGTTAAATAATTATTATGTCACATTGCATATTATATGGTTCATAAATAGTAGTACATGTCATATTAATTTCAATTGCATAATTAGTATTTTAGTTGCATGTTAGGTTAATTCACATTAATAACCCATTTATTTTGCTATTATGAATAAGTAATAAGAAAACCCAAAAATAAATCCATTTGCATTAGTGATAGTCCACTTACATTAGTTTACATAGGCTCAATACAAAACCCACTCTTTTATTACAAATATATATGTATTAGTGCTAGTCCATTTACATTAGGGTTTTTGGTTTAGTGTTTTTGGTTTAAAGTTTAGGTTTTATTATTTAGGGTTTCTATAAACCTATATACTTTATTACTTTATATAGTTTATGCATAGTGTTTCTATAAACTATATAAGTAATTTACTTTATATAGTTTATATATATATATATATATATATATATATATATATAGTTTATATATACTATACATGATTTATACATACATGTACTATAAGTTACATATATAGTTTAGGGGTTAGGGTTTAGGGTTCATAATTTAGGATTTAAGGTTTAGGGTTTTATAAACTATATACTTTATCACGCACGCACGCACGCACGCACGCACGCACGGACGCACGCACGCACGCACGCACGCACGGACGCACGCACGCACGCACGCACGCACGCACGCACGCACGCACGGACGGACGCACGGATACACGCACGCATGCACGCACGCACGCACACGCACGCGCATGCACACGCATGCACGCGCGCGCGTGCGCACACCCGCGCGCGCACACACACACACACAATTAATTAAAAGTAATTAGAATGTATACATGATTAAATTATATCGAATTGAGAATTCAAGAAGATATTTACAATTAAATAATGACTAAAATGAAAGAAAACAAAAATCAAATACAAGTGGAAGAATGATGATTGTTGGATGAGCATGAGCCTAATTAACCTAAAATATCTTTCCAAATAAAATCTCAATTCTCAATTTCTCTCCAAAATTTTCTATTCCCTCTAAATTTCTCATTTCCCCTCTAAATCCCTCTAAATTCTCAATTTCCCTATATTATCAAAATTTCTCAATTTCCCTCTAAATTCCCAAATAAAATAAAAAACATTCACACAAAAAAATCTTTATTTTAAAAAGTTTTCTCCCACCACTCACTTTGAATTATATATATATATATATATATATATATATATATATATATAAATACTATATTAATATAAATTATAGTTTATAAACTATATACTTTTTTATAGTTTATACATATATAGTTTACATATATAGTTTATATATATATAGTTCATATAAGCATAATTTATATATATAACTTATAATAATTATATAGTTTATAATATAAATATAGTTTATATATATATTTTATATATAAACTTATATTATATATATATATATTATATTTTTTTCAATTTTTTAAATGAATGCAATTTACTATACACACACACACATACATACAATTAAAAGTAATTAGAATGTATACATGATTAAATTGTATCGAATTGAGAATTCAAGAAGATATTTACAATTAAACAATGACTAAAATGAAAGAAATCAAAAATCAAATACAAGTGAAAACATGATGATTGTTGGAGGAGCATGAGCCTAATTAACCCAAAATATCTTTCCAAATAAAATCTCAATTCTCAATTTCCCTCCAAAATTTTCTATTCCCTCTAAATTTCTCATTTCCCCTCTAAATCCCTCTAAATTCTCAATTTCCCTATATTCTCAAAATTTCTCAATTTTCCTCTAAATTCCCAAATAAAATAAAAAAAAAATTCACACAAAAAAATCTTTATTTTAAAAAGTTTTCTCCCACCACTCACTTTGAATTTTATATTTATATATATATATATATATATATATATATATATATGAATATAAATTATAGTTTATAAATTATATACTTTTTTATAGTTTATACATATATAGTTTACATATATAGTTTATATATATATAGTTCATATAAGCATATATATATATAACTTATAATAATTATATAGTTTATAATATAAACATAGTTTATATATATATTTTATATATAAACTTATATTATATACATATATTATATTTTTTCAATTTTTAAATGAATGCAATTTATTGTATTTTTCATTATTTCTTCACATTTTGTATTTATTTCGATTTAATCCTTTTTTATTTTTTAATTTATTTCAATTTTAAGTCTTTCACTTTTATATGTATTCAATTTAGTCCTTAAATTTATATTTACATCTTCATTTGGCCCATTGTTAGTTGTTATTTATATTTTTGTAACTGGCCCATAACTTTTTAAATGTGTTTAATTTAGTCCTTTTTATATTAATTTAAACCTCACATTTTAAATTTATTTCGATTTAGTCCCTTACCTATGTGTGTTGTTTAATTTATATTTTAAAATTTTATTTGTAATTTTACATTTCTTCAATTTTGTCCTTAAATTTATATTTTTACAAAATTGATCCATGGATATTTATTTTTCTCTTAATTTACTCAAAATCATATACAATTACAACTTGCAATTCAACAATCACGAAAGATGACAAAACAATTAATCCAAAAATAAAAAAGATATGACCTAAACTCAATCTGTATCTGGTAAACATCCGACCTGAATTTTATCTGTCAATGATGTGACCCGATCTGAACGAGATCCGATTGAAGTTCACCCAAACCTGAACTAACCTGGTCATTATCTGCTTCAGACCTGAACTGTTTTGACATGAACTGACATCGATCCGAACTGAAAATGAACTGACCTGAACCGATCTGGATCTGATGTTAAATCAACTCGAAAATAACCCGAACTGATTTGACCTGACCTGAACCCGATCTGGATCTGGTGTCAAATCAACCTGAGTTGACATGTATCTAATTTTACCTGACTTATCAAGATCCGACTGAAACCTGTCCGATTACCTGATTTTACAACCTTAATTGTGTATGTGTTACGTGAAGGTTTGGTGGTTACTTTTTGGAAAACGCTTTGACCGTATGTAATAAATAGGTAAGCTGTAAATTGAAATACAAATCATGCAAGAGGATTAAATTCTTGGAAATAGAAGTAAACGAGTTAAATTTTAAAATTTCTAAAGTGTACAAGGACTGATAAAACAATTAAACATTTACGTTTCAATGCCAGACTAGGCGTGGGCTTTACTTTTTTCAAGCCATATAACTCTCGGCCTGCTTACAAGGGGTAGAAAATTGAACTAAAAGCGAAGGAAAATAAAAGGCCATCTTATCCAATTTGTGCAGGTAGTTAATCGAAATAGCAAGAGTGAACCAGTGGAAGAGAGACCAAGGAAAATGGCACTCCTTTGTGCTTCAACTTCAGTTATCTTCTCTTCTTCTTCTTCATCTTCATCGGAGAGACCTTCATTTGCTTCGTTGAAAAGGTCTATACCCAGTAACCAAAGCTCATTTCTTGGGTTCTTCCCTGTAGTAGCATTGTCCAAACCTTCTTCTGCTCGGACAACAACGTTGTCTTTCTCTAAACGGAATTTCCGGGTTTTTTGCATGGACCTCTCTCTTGTCCCTGAAAATCAACGTTGGATGTTCGAGGAATCCGAGGCTGATGGCCCTGTAATCACTCTCTGCCTCTCTTTTTTTCATTTCTGTGTCTTTCTACTTTCTTAAAGCTATTTTTTCTGGGTTTTGAATGGATGTTAGTGTAATTATAACCATGTAACTGATGATTTTCTTGGTTCATTTGGTGAAAATTGTTTTTTTTTTAGAAAATCGCAGTGATAAAAAATGTTTTATAATATATGTTTTTAACCAATTTTTTTTTGGATTTGTCAAAATGACCAACAAAATCGCAATGCGATCTCTAATTCGCAACGCGATCTCCAGTATCGTAAATTCGCGCTGCATTTCGTGTTGCGATAGTTGAAAATCGCGATGCGATTTTTCATTTTGCGTTGCGATAGTTGAAAACCGCGTTGCGATTTTTTTTTTTGCGTTGCGATAGTCTATAGTGTCGTTGCGATTTTTCATTTCGCGTTGCGATAGTCTACAATGTCGTTGCGATAGTGTACAGTGTCGTTGCGATTTTCTATTTCGCTGCGATTTTCTATTTCGCGTTGCGATAGTCTACAGTGTCGTTGCGATTTTCCAAATTCGTTGCGATAGTCTACAGTAAATTAAAAAAAAGATTTTGTTTCTTAAGAATTTTCTCTAAAAAATATAGTATCCGCGCGGACGTATCGAAGACACGTATTACCACGACCACGACCACGATCCGACCCGACCCGAGATGAGACGGCGGCGGCGGCGGCGCGCGAGAGTCCCCCTTGTTCTTTTTCACTCAACAAGGAAATGGGAAATCCAAGCCTTAAATACACTTCCATATAGTGTTTCCAATACTATGTGGGATTGAGCATTACTCAACATTTCAAAGAAAATATAGCAATTTTTGTAGCATGTTTCCTACTTAATCCATATCTAAAAATATTAAAACATTTTATCATATTAAAACTATATGTATAAGTTTGAATTGAAATATAGATATCTACTACTCTTTTAATTCTCTTGATAAAATGATAAAATGTTTTAGATATGGATTAAGTGGGAAACATGCTACAAAAATTGCTATATTTTCTTTGAAGTGTTGAGTAATGCTCAATCCCACATAGTATTGGAAACACTATATGGAAGTGTATTTAAGGCTTGGATTTTCCATTTCCTTGTTGAGTGAAAGAGAACAAGGGGGACTCTCGCGCGCCGCCGTCTCGTCTCGTCTCGGGTCGGGTCGTGGTCGTGGTAATACGTGTCTTTAACACGTCCGCGCGGATACTATCTTTTTAGAGAAAATTCTTAAGAAACAAAATCTTTTTTTAATTTACTGTAGACTATCGCAACGCGATTTGGAAAATCCTGTAGACTATCGCAACGCGGAAAATCGTAACGACACTGTAGACTATCGCAACGCGAGATGGAAAATCGCAACGACAATGTACACTATCGCAACGCGAAATGGAAAATTGCAACGACACTGTACACTATCGCAACGCGAAATGCAACGCGAATTTGCGATACTGAAAATCGCGTTGCGAATTAGAGATCGCATTGCGATTTTGTTGGTCATTTTGGCAAATCCAAAAAAAGTTGGTTAAAATCGTATATTATAAGACATTTTTTGTTACTGAGGCGATTTTCTTTTTTTTTATGTGGCTTAAATTTTGTTTCATTTTAATCTTGAAATTGAGAGTGTTATTGTGTTGAATTTTGAACTTTTGAACAGTATATAGTAAAAGTTTATGCTTTTTGTAAAATTGGGTATTTTTTTCTTTTAATAAATAGTTTTGGTCTGAATATATGACATGATTTTCCTTCACATTGTCTTTTTTTCTTTTTCTTTTTCAAATTTATTATTTTGAGATTGCAATCAATTTCTGTAACATTTTTCTTAAAGTATTTGCTTCTCACAGTGTTCTTTGATGATGTTTCTGTTTTTCTCCCTTCTTGCTTACGTAACTTGAATCATGTTCCTTTTGTTTGCAGGACATTTGGAACAACACATGGTACCCAAAAGCTAAAGACCACATTAATACTAAGAAACCATGGTATGTTGTTGATGCAAGTGACAAAATTCTGGGAAGACTGGCATCAACAATTGCCGTGCATATCCGTGGAAAGAATTTACCCACTTACACTCCTAGTGTCGATATGGGCGCTTTTGTAATAGTGGTATGTGGTTTTTGTGCTTTTGTGCAACATGTAAGAGTTTTGTTTATGAACATTGTTGTTTGCAATTAGTGAGATGCTGGAAAGAGGTTTAACCATATAGGAAATGTTGCTTGCCTTTTCATGTTACAGTGCAAGTCTATGTACAAGTTATCGATTTGATTGAAACATTATATAAGTTATTTCCACTCCATGACCTCTCGTTACTTCCTCGGTTGTGAAATTTTGACCTTGCTAAATCTACTAGGTTTTTTCTATGTTTCGGTAATGATAAAGTAAAGTATATCTGCAGCAAGTAGTAATCATGAGTGTTACATAACTGTGTTATCTTGCTCAATGTGGATCCATGTTGCTGTAGAATAGAGTGTTCTGATTTTGTATTTTCCTGTAATTCTTCTTCCAACATATTGTGGAATTGATATTCTTGCTGAAAGGATCATGTTACCATTTATGCTAATTTGGTTATTTAGGGGAAGCTTTAATGATATTTGCTTGGTTTCTCACAATATGTTTGTCATTTGATCAAAAAGTCCTTAAAATTTGTGCTGCACATCTACTCAATAGGTAAATGCTGAAAAAGTTGCCGTGTCTGGAAAGAAAAGGACCCAGAAACTCTACCGGAGGCATTCAGGAAGACCAGGTGGAATGAAAGTGGAAACATTTAATCAGCTGCAGCAGAGAATTCCTGAAAGGATTATCGAGCATGCTGTTCGCGGCATGCTTCCTAAAGGAAGGGTGAGTTCATTGGTTAAAACTCCAGGCTAATATCTGCATCTGAGTTTAATATGAATCGATATACAGATTTAAAATCAAGACCGACAAAAAACTGATCCCGGGCTTTCTATGTGCAAACGTTGCTAAGCAAGCTTAAGTAGTTTTATGCTGTAGTAGGTTTACTGGGGTGGCTTCGTGAAATCTGCTTATGCACACCATGAGTTAGAATGATAAATTGAACACTGGTTCTGTACAAATAAGAATTACCTTGGTAATGAGGATTGCAAAAAAGGCTGGTTAAGCATTGGTGATGAAAGAATCTGGAATATGCAAATTCTGAAAGAAAATGAAGCGTAGGAAGTTCAAAGTGCCAATCATTCGAGTGAACAAAGCAATATAGAAAATCGTTTGACATGAATAGTAGTTTAACTTGCGTATGCAGTCCTCATAATTATTAATGTAGTCCAATTTGTAAGGCTTGTGAAACAATATAACAAGTATTTAATCATTGATAATTATGTCAGCTCATGCATTCAATCTAATGGTGTCATTCAAAAATGGCATGCATGATTCTTAGTTTTCTTACTGATTATGGCTAAGTTCCACAATAATCTAACTTTTTTTCCAGCTTGGAAGAGCATTGTTTAACCACTTGAAGGTTTACAAGGGCCCGGATCATCCGCATGAGGCTCAGAAGCCCACTGAGCTGCCTATACGAGACAAAAGGGTGCAGAAGCAGCGATAAGCAAACTTAAAGCAGGGACGGGTCGAGGGAGTTAGAAAGGGAGAGTGGCGTTGCTCGCTTTCCTCACTATTTTCCATTTTTTTCTTCTTGTTTTGGGTGCTTGGGGTAAAATAAAACTTTCATTCTTCAGCCCTTATTAAGCTACAGAATGAAACGCTTGTTTATTAAATGAACCTTACTTTAGCTGTGAAAGTAAATGCTAAACACAAGAATTTATGCTGCAGGTTTCAGTTGCATTAATCTTTAATCTCTATTTTCTTCATCTTAGATTATTGCTTTTATTATTAAATTTGACAAATGAAAGCTTTTCAAAGAATAAGATTGTAAAGAAGCTCGTTCCATGTATCTGGAACTCCCGCTAGACACCAATGGCTGCAATCCAAGCCAGTGGATCCACTAAGCCCATAAATGGAAGGATGTCCATCTTTGCGTAGCAAAGACAGCAGTGTCACATCAAGCAACTTCGCCGGCTTCTTCATTTTGTTTATTACTCTCTTTACCACATCCACCGCCGGTGGCAAACCTCCGGGATATGTTGTGCCGAGCAATGGCTGCTTTTGCCCTACACAGCTCTTTGCTTTTGCTTCACCCCACAAAGTCCCACTGCAATTACCAAATTCAAAACCCTTCATTACTCAACCAAATAAAATAACAAAAGAAGGGTTTGTTAAAAAAGGCTTACTTGTAATGGGAAGGAGAAATTCCCTGGAAAAATACTTGATCTCTTGAAGGATCAACGTTGGCATCCACCCATCCCGCCCATGTGTTGAGAGCTATTTCGAAAGCTTGCATTCGATCCATATCCTTTTTAATCACACCCCCATATTCGATAAAATCCCATCTGAAAAAAATGGCATATCAAATGAATTACAAATGTCAAAATTCGAACCTCAAATAAATTTACTTACGGTTGAGTAGGACCATGACGATTCCACCAATGCCAAGTATTGAAGATGAGCATGTCAATCCCAATCCATAGCTTCCCAGATTGGATGGAGTCAAGCTTTAAAACCCTTCCAATCCTTTCCATCACAACATCTACCAGATATACATTTCGATCCAGCATTACTTTTACTTCAAAATCCTGCAATAATTTACGGATCTCAAGATGTTAATATCTACAACATTATTATAGAAAATGATATTAATGTGTCACATGATAAATATTTAATTAACTGCCACAAAAAAACATGATTCAAAGATATAATTTATAAATTTACTCGGTCATTGAAAAATACAGCTTAAAATAGAGTAAAAATACGTACCAGAAATGCGAAGGTGCTGACATAATTGACTCTGGTAAGGTTGTATCGGGCAGTAGGAACAGCCGAGTGCAGCATGCATGTCAATGATTGCCATTGATTTAGGCTTAGAGAGTCTCCAATAAACATTATGCTCTTCCCTCTAAACTTTTCTAGGAACTTCAATCCATCAAATCTAAAACAATTTAATAAAGTAAATTTAAATATTCATAAATAATATTACTCCAATTCGAATCATCCTATACAGTCACGTAAATTCAAATGGTCATGGAAAAGAAGTAAAGAAACAAAGCAGCAAGGACAGAAAAGACATCCCACCGCCGTTCCCGTGAAGTCGGCAGTACGGTAAAAAACACTTCCACCTACACGTGCTAGAGAATCTAAGTCGATTTTATAAATCAATATTTTTATATAATTTTTATTTTCCCGGTATAAGAAGACGACATATATCCGCGCGCCGTAGAAATTAGATTAGATCACATGATGTCCGAAAATAAAACTCAATAGAACTGAGGACAATTACCCTAATGCTTTTGAGTTGTTCAAGGATGGAACTGATTAAACAAATTCAATACTTTTATAGAAATTCAATTTAATATTAAAAATGAAATAATTTAATAAAATTTATTTTCAAAATAATCTTATATTTTTAACAAACAAAATTACACTCTTATTAAATAAACAAAAGATAATATAATATTCTCAAAGAATCAAAAATAGCATAAATGAGCTTTAAAACTCGAAACTAATGGCATGCAGACTTGCAGTTAAAAACATAGTAAAAAGAAACTTTTAATTTGCTTTGTATTGGGGACAACTTATACTTTTAATGATTTTTCACATTAAAGAATAAAATTATGTATCAACAACACGGACATTAACCTTTTCCACCTTCCCTTTATAAAACAAGGAACTAAGCTAACTATTGTTAACAAATCCAGAGAAAAAGAAAAAATGGCAACAGGGGAGGTTACCTTGTCAAGGAGCAATCGAGAGGTTGCCATCGGTAGTGAGTGTAGACCAGATCTTGGCGTCCATTCTTCTGGCAACTGAACTCCTTTTGAATGAAAGGGCAAGCAGAGGCTGAGTAAAGAGGATAAGATGGATCCAAAACCCACTTGCCTGCAAACAAATCGCACCCATTGGCGGAGCAGCAAACAACTGCCAAAACCATCACACAAAAGTATAAAGAAACGATGGAATTGGAATGAACCCAATGCCCCATTTGGCCTACTAATTCTACAAAACTTGGAAAGAAAGAGAGAAAGAAAAAAGGGAAGAAACTCCCTCTCTCGCTCTCTCTGTTACACTCTCAGAGCTGTGTTATCGTCTGTTCTGGCTCTGTCTAAATCATATTTATATAGGGTTATAGTCATAACTGTTTTAACGGGGTTTCAAAAGTGTTAGAATTGTATTAATGTCATACGCGGATAATTTATTACAAAATTTATGGTAAATAATAATAATAATGTTGTAGCCTGGAATTATACTATAAGTTTATGGGAACAACTCGTGATTCTTTTAATTTTCTTACCATTTATTAGTTGGAGTTTTAATTTTGATGCACTGGAAAAAGATTTTGAGCATGTGCTCAAGGCAAGTTTAATCAAATTTATGGGATTTTTAGTTTACTGGTTTGGCAACAAAGAGTTTATAGCATAAATGTAAGACTATATTTAATGATAAGGTTGAGGTTTTGGAAAGATTAATATGTCAAGTTTAAATATAATTATCTGTATCTGTTATGTCTAGATTTTATTTTGATTTAAACTTCATCATATACGCAGTATATTATATATCAGGTCGAATTAAAATACATCATATTTTCATCTAAAGTTCATCCCTACACAAATAGCATCACCATAAAAATAGGATGATTCCATTCCACAACACAACTTGGGAAAACTTTCAGATATCAAACGGTTCAACACAAATTCTTTTATGTAAGAAATCCAAGCCAAAACTACGTACCAAAAAATGTAACGTTTTAACGGTGACTTTACTAACTGCAGGCCGTTCATGAGAATTTTGTGGTCTTTAGGCCAATCAAGAAACTAGGACTCTAATCAAGGATTTAAATTATAATTTTTATTTTTGTTTTCAACTAGGTTACGTTTATTACGGTTTTAAACGATGTCATTATCACTACATAAGGGTCGTTGTTATGGTTGCAGGCCGATTTAAGTAATTGTTTTTAATAAAAAAGTGTTGAAAAAATAAATTTTAAGGATAGCTCCATGATATTAAGTTTTTGAAAAATGGATCTCTGATAATAAATATTTAAAAAATAAAATTTTAAGAATATGCTAATAACAACAAATATTGAAAAAATCGACTTCTAATAAAAATGAAAAAATTGGACTCACAATAATAAAAAATACATATTAAAAAGAACTTAAATTTTAAAAATATTTCTCTAATAAAAAATATTGGAAAAAAATGAGTCTCTTATAACAAGTATTAAAAAAATTGGACCCTTAATAACAAATGTTGAAAAAATATTGGTAAAAAATTAGACACTTATACAGATATTAGAAAAAATAAATTATATGAATAGACCCGTAATAATAAATATTTAAAAAACTGAACCATAACAATAAACATTACGATAAAATAAAATTCTTAATGATAAGTATTAAAAATAATTAAACCTATAAGTAATATGAAATTATTTTTTTACAAATGTAATGTACTGTAAAAATTCTAGGCGGATGCCCCTCTTATCTAGCCCTAGATACGGCCCTGTAAGCTCCGATCGCCTTGCGAACAAGACAAAACGCTGTTTGTTGTGTAACCAAGATTGGCTACAGCCTATAGCGTTTAAGGTTTGCTAACTATGTTGATCTTTTTCTTGCTTTTACTCTTTGTATTTATCTTTTTTTCTTCTTCTTGTTTACTTGAAAGTATAGAATTTATTTGGATGAAACTTCCACTCAAATAAAAGAGGCTATAAAAGGAGTGTTTGATTACAGGTGAAATAAGTAATATCCAGACTTGTCCATTGATGCCAAAACAAGTTTAGGAAAGCTCATAGATAACTGACTTTCCTGAAAAGGATTGATACAGATGGATTAACTCTCATTAACGATTTTTATTTATTAGTCTGGAGTGATTACGATGTAATATATGTTTATAATCTTTTATAATCGTTGACAATGTATAAATATCCTACATACTCAACTATTCAAACTCGAAATTTCTAATAATTTTTTACATAACTATTATTTTTGAGAAAAATTTAAAAATTTAAAAATTTAAATGTTTTTCTTAAATTTTTTGATTTACCGTTATTCTTTTCCCTTCCATTTAGGTTGGTGTAAGCAAATTGCTTTTCACAGTGCAAGATATTCAAAAATTAACAATTTTCTTAATTTGTTAAATCTTTATTCTGCCAATAACAACAATTTTAAATTCATCATTTTTAACCCTGCAGGTCATTAAACTATGAAAATGCAGTGTTCCAGCAAGTGGAAAAGAGAGACAAATTAGAACTAGAAAAGTGGAAGAAATGGTCTTCAACCTGCACCCTCTTTTTTTAATGTCGAATATATTTTCAGGATTTTTTTTATTGTCTCTTTAATAATGATATCTTTATGATTTGAACTTAGATTTAATTTTTAATAACGTAATGTATCATATTATTGCACCCAAAGTTAATAAGTAGTTTCCAACCTTGTTTAAAACTTAAATCAACACGAACAAAATAACTTTACGGATAAATAAATTGTTGTTATTCCTTACGAGAAAGGAGACATGATGGCCACACTGCTAGAAAAAATCCCTTTAATGGCGCGCATTGCGCGTCATCTATGGGTGCGGATGACACACAAATGCCTATCGTTGAAGCCACCGACATGAATTTTAGATGACGCATAATTGTGTGTCATAAATCTATGACACGCATTGATGACACGCTTTATGACTCACATTTATGACGCACATTGAGCGTCATTGAAGCACCCATCATAAATGAAGATGACACATATTTGTATGTCATAAATTTATGACACGCATGTATGACTCACATTGCGTGTCATTGAAGCACACGTCATTAAAAAAGATGACACACATTCGTGTGTCGTGATTATATTTCGTAAATTATATATATATATATATATATATTGTAGATTGACAAATAATCAAACTAAATCACATTTAATGCCTCATAATACTTAATATATATATCATATTATATATAAGCAATCCATTTGTATACAATATATTCACATTAAGTTATCAAAAATATTGTAATCATATGTACTATCTATGCTGCACAAAGAAGAATTGAAACCAAAGCCTTTGAATTCAACAATATAGTCCTAGTTCACATAGAGTGATTTCGTTGGATGTAATCAAATAATGCACTTTGTTTCCATATACTTAGAGTTTTGAGCATCTGGATAAAAGCCACAGATATGTGCAAATAGGCAGTGTTGCCAAACCTGTATTGACAACAACAAAAATGAGGATGCTTAGAATATACAAAAACGATATCAACAAAAGATAAGCAAAATAAAACAAAGATGTCAAAATTTTGTACAGCCAGTACATAATAAGTTCCATATCGCATAAGCAATTTGCAGCCTATAGTATAAACCTTTTGGCAACTCAACAACTTAAATGCATTTAAAATTTAATTTTCATTAAAAGTATAAGAAAAAACAAATTAGTGCTGTCAGAACCAGTTTCAGGGCAAGGCATTAAGATATGAAAACACGGAGCAAGACAAATGGCAGTAATTCAACAAATTAGGATCCTGCTTAATTAAGAAACTTCATTATGCAGAGAAGGCAACTTGACCACTCTGCCCCCAAAAGAATTGGAATAATTATTGCCCTTGTTTTCAGTTGAACTTGGTTCAATTTTTGAAATCTAGTTTTTGATTTTTCAAAGGGACGTTTTCTTCCAGCCTGAGATGAATTATTCAGGAGAAAATATCTCCTATTTTCTTCTCCTAATCATCTAATGTTAAAAGGGAATATGTTGTTTTAAAATCTGAACTACTCTTCATAGGATGATGTCTTCTCTTCTATTATACTTTGTTGGATTCAAGAAAAGAAGTTTATATTAACTAATATCAGGACAAGTTTTACATTTTTTTCCTCCCATTTTTTTCTAATATATGTACTTTCTTCTTCTTTTATAGGTAAAACATGCTAATGAACTTGAAAATATCCTAGCTAAAACGTTTCTTAGGTTGTTGTCAATGAGGGCAGAAGCATTTCAAGTTTTGAGAAGAAAACCAGTACAAGTACATAATAGTCGGCACTTGATTTGTCTTCTAAATTATGTTGCTTGACAACTTGATGTGATTAAACAACTAACTTGCCTTGAGGAATGATTATGTGTACACCATTTTTGCAAAAGCAATCATGACAATCACTATATTTTGCCACTTGTGGGTGAAGACTTTTAATTCTTTCCTTTTAATACACACTAACCTCTTAAACCTGTTTAGCATAGGTGTCTCTTTACGTCCTGATTATTTTACTATATATATGTTTCAGCTCTTAAATTTGACTACATATGGCTCTTAAATTTTGATTTCATTCATGAACTGAGGCTGCCTAATGTATAACTTGATTTCCCTTTTTATCTCCACCTACCAGCAAAGAGAGACATCATGAGACTCATTTTATTGTTTCTAAAATTTAACATAACAAAATGGATTCTCTAAATTCACCTTACTCGTTTTATGCTAGGGTAAAAAGAACTACATGTAATATAATTAAGGTCTGAAAGTAAAATCTCATCAAAGCAAAATGGTACGCGTTCATGGAAATGCCATCATTTGGTAACATCTAAAAGTGAAAAAATATGATAGCCCATAAAGACGATAAGGTATTTCATGAAACATCAATTCAACGGGGCAATCTTCATACCTGAGCTCCGGTAAAGTCAATCTTGTTTCCCTTCTCCAAGAGATCATCAACCGCTTGTTCCGTTTTAAAAGTGATGAACCCAAAACCACGGGAACGATTGGTGGCATGATCCCGCATGATTTCGTGTTCTCTAACTTCTCCATATTGTATAAAGTAGTCCTTGAACTCATCTATCAATTTGCACCAAATAGATTAACATTTACGAGAAATATCTACGATGAATCAAGGCATTCCGGATAAATGGCGTGAAGTTTCAATATTATATGCATTAAAGAAATGAAGATACTGGTATCACCTTCGGATACAGTTGAAGGAATTCCATCTACAAAAATCTTCCTAGTCTTGAAATCTTTACTTCCAGAAGCTTCTTTTGGTATTGTTCTCTTAATGTCTACCTAAAATGATAAAAACCGAGCCAAAGAGCAGTAATTCAAGTCAAAAGCGAAGCAACATACATCGGACTATGGTAAGGAAACATAACAATAAACAAAACATTGAGACTAAAATGGAGTCTTACTTGATTCCCATTAATAACATGAGTGTCCTCAATGACTTTATCAACCACAGAAGGTTCTACATAAGTCACAAACCCGAATCCACGAGGTTGTTCTGTTTTCCGGTCCTTCATTATCACATAATCCGTAATTTCACCATATTTACCAAAATGCTCAAGAAATTGTATTGCAAAAGATACGTAAAATAACCAAATCGAAATAGACTACATGGAAAGTAATTCGTGCTATAATCATATTCAAGGAGATTAATAAAAATCTCCAACAAACAAGCTAAAGAACTAACCCGAACTTGTCTCTCTCGCTAAACCTCCTATAAATATTTTGCTGCAAATTTCCAAATATCGAATATATTCACAAATCACTTCTAAAGTATTCATGATAAAAGAGGCCTTTCAAAGAAACATATACCTCTAAACATATCAATATAATCCTATATAAGTCTAAAGAAAAAGAGAAAATAAGAACCCTAATTTTTCCTCTTTCCCTTTTATTTTAAAATGACATAAATTCCAAACTTATAACAAAAAATGAAAATAAAAAATGGGTATTATCATTTCACTTAAATTTGCGAATAATTTCAAAGTCATTAACTAAAAGGTAAAGGAAAAAGGCTCAAATTTTCTCATTACTTTTTCTATAATTCTCTTAGGAAACATAGTAAATCTAAAGGAACATATACATATGTGTATACAAATAATGATTCAATTTACGTTTTTCACGTGTAATTAAGCAATGGGTAATCGATAATTTCAGGATTTTCCTCGACACCCCCAAATTTTCTCAAGAAACAAACAGAATAAAGGGGAATATATTTACCCAGGACTGGCACCATCGCCGATGTAAGGAGTAGACTTGTTGTCTTCAGGATAGTCAGAGGATCTAAAATGGTTGGTTTCGGCGTCGGGAAGGGGTTCACCGCCTCGAGGGTCTATCAGCATAGTGGGAAAAGAAGGAAAGAAAGCGTAACCTAAAAATGTGTTTCCAAAGTTTTTGAAAGCATTTAAAGCGGGAAAGCATGCGTACATGATGAAAATAATGGCAAAATTAAAAGACGACTTTTACAGATGACACACAATTAAAAGTGTACTCCGTGTTTTTGAAATTTTTTTGGATTATGACTATTAAATATGACATACATTATTGTAAGTCATAAATCATTCAGATTTTAAGAAACATGACATTTTTTATGACACATTTTTTGCAAGTCATAAATTAGCGCGTGTCATCGTTCGTGTGTCATTAAAGGTATATTTTCTTGTAGGGCCAAAAGATGATCGAACGGTGAAAGACAGTAAGTGAGCGGCTATAACTTTGTTATGAATGAGGGATTTTATTAATCAAACAACAACAAATTTATTATCGAGGAGTGAAAAATGAGTTCTACAAAAAATCAACAAACCTATTTCATCAATGTGTATTCATAAATCATAAAACCTAATAATAAACGACCCAACAAATTATAACCTAATCAATTAACAAATTAATAAGATTATTGTCTAATTACAACTTATTTTTAACATTCTTCTCACTTTCTTAACTTTCTTGATCTTCTTTAGAGTTGATTCTTGAACAAAAAGATACAAGCAAAGTGTTGCAAAAGTATGCAAGCAGTAATTCTCAACCGAGAAATGGAAAGAGCTGGTCATTGATAAAGAAATATATTTTTTCTTCATTCATCATTTTATCTTTCTTTCTCCACTCGTTCATCTAAAGTTCCCTAAAAAAAATTGTTCCCTTTACTTAGGTGATTCAAGGAGAATTAAAAATGCCATGCTTCCTTGCGTTCTGCTTTACGCTTAGGTGATTCATCGATAATCGAAAGTGCTATGCTTCCTTTCGTTCTACTTTAGATTTAGGTAATTCATACATCGAGAATCGAAAGAAATATGCTTTCTTTCTTTCTACTTTAAACTTAGGTGATTCATTCATCGAGAATTGAAAGGGCCATGCTTAGAGGTGGTAAATCGATCATTTGGATCTAGTTCAGTTCGAGTCATTTTGGGTTGGATTCAGGTCGAATTAGGTCATTTCGGGTTTTGGTTTTATTCGAGTCTATAAAAAGTCGGGTCAGTTTGGGTATCGAATCGGATCAATATCATATCGATTGATTTTCAATTCGGTCAATATCGGATTAGTTGATTTTCAGGTAGGGTCAATATTCGATCAATTATTTTTACTTTGGGTCAACTTTGGATCGTCAGGTCAATTCAGGTTGAGTTGGTTATGAGTCATATTAAGTATATGTAGAATTCTTGATATATTTTTTGTAAAAAAAAGTGTATTTTTTTAAATCTTATCATTTGTGTTCAATTTCTTTCAAATACAATTATCATTTAGGGATTAAAATTTGACTCAAACTAGACCTATAAGATATGTTAGAGTTTGTGATATTTTTTTATTGATTAGGACAGAGAAGTTTGTGATACGATCTATTTTATTAAAAATAAAGTTTTTAATTATAAATTTTATTATCAATTTAAATTTTTAGATGCTTAATGATCAATTATAAATATAATATTTTTATTAAATTTAAAAGTAGTAATAATAAAATATTTATATTTGAATAAATATTATTTTAAATATATTTATAAATAATATTATATTATTATATTATCAATAATATTTTAATAAATAAAAATATATATCTTTATATTGTAAAAGTAAGTTATGTGTGTAGTGTGAAAATAAGTTAAGTTATTTTTATATTAAATATAAATAACTGTATTTTTTATATACAAAGGAATTAAAATAATTTGTAAATTAATTTAATAATTTTGAAAAATTATTTTAGTAGTTCCAAGTAAAATATTAAATTAATAATTCATAATTTATTTTAAATAAATTGAAAACCAATTTAATAACTTTGAATCATTAGGTAATAGAATCCAAAATGAAATGTAGAATTAATAAATTATTATTTAGATTATTTAAAGATTAATTTAATATTTCGGTTCATTAATTAATGGAATCTAAAATATATATTGAATTAATAAATTATCATTAAATTTAAAAATAGAAAATAAAAATAAAAAAATTAAATAAAGTTTAGTACAAATTCTGAGATGATAAAGTTATTATTATTTTACGGAATTAGAATAAGAATATAAAGTTATTTAATAGAGAAAAATTAGTTTTATCATAATTATTAATTAATTAATTAATTAATTAATTACCGATTAAAGTTAATGTAAATTTATTTAATTATTAGATATTTAATTAGGTATATGAATTTTAAATTTATATGTTTAATTAATAAAAAATACTTAAAGTTCAAATCAAATAAATAATTAATATATATACTCAGATTTTATCTTACTAGTTCATTATTTAACGCATTGCTAAAAAATAGCTAATAATAAAAAATAAAGTATTCATACACTTTAACTCAATTACCGTGTGTCAAAAAACATCAATTATTGGATTAAAACAGGGTCAATGTTTAGTTTAGATCGACTTTAGATAAATTAAATTCGGATTATTTTTGGTTCGGGTTATTTTTTATTTGGCTAAAATTTGGGTCGATTTAAGTTCGATTCATTTTTCAGGTTTCGGGTAAAATTTGGGCCATCATGGTCGGGCCTATTTTGAGTCTCGGTTCAAGTAAATCGATTCAAATAACTAATTCGAGTCAAATTTGTCATGTCTAGCTATGCTTCCTTTCATTCTACTTTATTCACTCTTTTCTTTTCGATCTCACTTATTGAACCTTCTTTTCGTTCTCACTAAACTGTGAAGTTTTCAAGTTCCATGTTACCTTGTGATAGAAGCAACATACCATGAAGAAACATGTCATAACCATTTTTTATAAATAATTAAATTTAAAAAAAATTATGACTTTATTTTATTTTTTTGGATTTTGTTTAATTTAAAATTTACTTTGGATTTGGAAAATTGAGAGTTCGATGAAATTTGAAATTTGGAGTCGTCATTGATCTTTGAGTTAGGTAGATGAAAAACCTAAAATGTCATTTTAAAATAATTTTAAGGAAAATCATTTTAAAGACAAAAAATGGTCTACGTGTCACCAAAAAATTATTTTTTAAGGATTCAGGAATCAATTACTCGTGGAGGATGATTAACACTCTTACAACGCCCAAAATTGATACTTCTTGATTATATATACATTGTCTAAGTAGTGGAATTTTACAAAGTTGAATTCAAAATTTAAATTACGATTGTTTTATTTCGATGAATTTCTTTATAAAATACTTAACTCGATAAAAATGATTTAATTCACTCGGTTTTATCTAAGAAGGATGTCCCCTTACTACATGAATTAACAAAAATTGAAATCTAGTTATGTTGGATGTAATTTCGTTAACCCACGATACTAGACAACATTGCTTTTGATTCTTTTAGAAAGCGAGAAAACAAATGCATGAACTATGAATGCAACAGTAATAAAGGACATATATAAAATGGATGAAATGTTCACTTATCATGGAAAAAAATAAAATGAAATACTAAATAAATAAAAATAAAATAAATATTTATTTATTAAAATGATTTCATTATACAAAAATATGAAAATGTCAAAGCTTATACATTTGTTTAAAGTGAATAAAATATGTCTAACTGATTTAATATATCATAAATATAAATAAGCAACAAATAATAATAATAATAATAATTTATTTGAATAATCCTCGGAATGGTGCCTCAAATTTTTAGAGGTCTTCCATAGGTTAGTCTAGTCAAACACTGAAGACGTTATAAATATTAAAAAGTCATTTCAAAATATAATATATATATATATATATTAAAATGCAAAATCATTTTTAATATAATATATGTATGAAGACTACTATATATATTTTGTCTCATATATGTTAAAATATAAAACAAAATGTACGTATATGGTAATAGTAATAATATAAGGATTAAAATAAAGCAATAAAAAGTATATGGACTAGAATATATATAAACGATATAACAAGTACTAAATATGTAATTAACCCATACAATCTCATATTCAAACCAAAGGCAGTGACTAAAATAAATACGAAGCAAAACTTAAGATCCTAATCATACATCACATATTAATACTCTACAAACAAATATAAAGGGTTAACACAAAAAAATTATCAAAATGATGTGCCAAAGGTAAAACAAATATAAAATAATCTCAAATGAACACAAAAGGACTGAAATAGAATGCAAAGCAAATAAAGATCTAGAAAACTAAAAATGAATATTTCATTTAATGACTTAAACAAAAGTTAGGAAAGCTATGAGCCCTCACCATGTAAATAAACCCTAGTCACTATGTGTGAATTTCATTACACCAAATGGTGTCACTAAAGGGCTAAAAATAAAAATACAATGACCACTATATACATTTACCCTATAAAACAAGGATTAGATCGCAACCAATAGAGATAATAAGCACTAAAATGAACATAAACCCAAATATCATATGTAGCTAATTAAAATAAATTCTAAAATGAGCGGGGATCAAAACATAAGTATAGATAAATTATAAGGTTCAAAATACAAATAATCAACTTCATTTAATGACTATAATAAAAGGATTAAAAATTTGGGAGGACTTCTCATAATATTAACCCACAAAGACAAAAATGCGCGAGTATAAAGAGACCAAAACGCGTCGTTTTGGAGTGTGTGTGTGTGTATATATATAAGGGCTTGGAAACCTAATTATAAAGAAAAGGGAGAGTTCTCTCCCAACTCCTACATGGCCACCACTCACTGACACTATCAACGGCCGTACTACAAGATTAATCCAACACTAATTGAACCCGATCAGTAATATAGTGATAAAATTGCCCTTTTCACCGAAAAAAGAAATAAAGTTTTTGAAATAATTTGTAAGAAAGAAGAAATGATATTCGATTTGTATATGATGAAAATGAGAGAAAACTTCTATATTTATAGGCTGATCAGAGGGGTAAAAACGTAAAAAATAAATCAATTATAA